TAAAATAGAGATAGATTTATAAAAACATTGCCAAAATAACTGTAAAATACAAAAGATGGTCTCGTTTCTCAGTCTCATCTCGGTCTCGGCCTTTAAAAGTCTTGGTCTTGTCTCAGTCTCGACCCTCAGAGGTCTTGGTCTTGTCCTGGTCTCTGGACCCTGTGGTCTCTGTCAGGTCTTGGTCTCGATAAGTGCGGTCCTGACAACAACACTCGTGCTCCAGTGTATTTTTAGCCCTGGAATTGCCCATCTCTACTGAACTAAAAGTAAAAGGTAGTTGTCGACTTCAAACTACCACTCCATGACATCACAAGGTGGAACACAGCATTCTCAAGCATGCGTGAATGAAACAAAACACAACTCCAGGTCTGCTTTTGATGAGATAACAGCATTATAACACGGTTTAAAGCTCACAAGAGTCCAGTTTGTGTAAATATAATACGACGGGACCTTTAAGTGACGGACCCCGCACTGTAAAAGTTACACATGCACATTTATACCCACTATAAGGAAGTAGCCAGCATTAGCACAATCTGAGCTGCTCTCCCGGTACAGTCCCGTCCTGTCCCGTCCTTGACCCTTCCCTGTCGGCTCGGGTCGGTCTCTGCAGTGGCGGGACGTGCACGCCGCTGCCCCGCTCCTCGCCTCTGCACCTCTGCACCCTCCGCCTCCCCTCCCGGATGATCTAATGCTGCAGGCGAGGGGAGAGGAGGGCGGCGGAGGAGGAGGAGGAGAAGGAGGCGAGGCAGCGTCGGGGCTCTGCGTGTGGCTCCGAGCGAGATTCGTGCTCCTCATAAACAAATGTGATTGATCTGACTTCCACTGCGAGCCTGAACCGCGACCCCTGGTGGCCAAAAGTGGGACTGCGCCGACAAAAGCTGCAGCGTCATCATAGTGAGCAGAATGGATAAACTGTAGTCTGGAAGGGCCACAGTCACATTCTGATGACTGCAATGTTTACATGACATAGATCGACACATTTTGTTAGATTTATTAATAAAAGAAACCTACTTAAACGTGTATTATGCAACTTTTGTGGTGGAGGATGTGCTACCTATTTATTTCCTTCAGGATGTTATTGCTTTGCTTAGAATGTTCCATGGTATGACATTAAACATTGCCAGTCTTGCATTTATTCATTACGGGTGTTTCTTTTGGTCAAAAATACAGTGATTTCTTCTATGAATAAGAGCGACTCTCCACAGATCTGAATTATAATGTGACATAATCTGCTTGTCTCTCTTGTGATAGAGGTTTAATCTATATCAAAGGTCAAACTAAGGCCCGTGGGTCGACTCAACTGTCATGACTTGGACTTGAGTCAGACTTGTGTCATTATTTTTATGACTTGAGACTTGACTTGATAAAATGGACTAAGATTTGGGACTTGAAGGTCAGTGACTTGGGACTTGACTCAGATTTGAGGCCTGTGACTTAAGAAGACTTGAGAAGCACATTTAAATCTTGAATTCTTTTTATTCTGACTGTAATGATTCACACTAAGATCTTGTCAGGACATTTAAAAAGGAAAAAAATAACATTTCTAAAACTCTTACTTACTCTATAAATACTCATATATAAATATACTATGATTATATAAGTACAATTTATCTTAAAAGTCATATAATTCACAAAAATCTAAACTATATTTGGTACTTTGGTTTAAAAACTTGAAATGACTTGAAGCTCAAAGCAGACGACTTGGACTTGACTTGGATTTATGGGCCAGTGACTTGAGACTCGATTTGCACTTGCCTGTATTTGACTTGGGACTTAACTCGGACTTGAGGTTAAAGACTTGAGACTTACTGGAGAAGTGCAAAACAACGATTTGGTCCCACCTCTGCTCAAAAGTTGTCACGGTCTATTTCTTAAAATTACTTCTCGGCAAATAATAACACGTCTGCATCTTGTGTTTTGTTGATTTTTTCAGTTAAAAAATGATATTTATATGTATACGTATTTACATTTGCCGCTGAATTTTCGTCACCTGACAAACTCAAGATCAAACAGTGACAGTCAAAGCACATGTAGACTTCTGTAGTGCAGTTAAGGACAGCAAAATGGTGAGTGTTAAAGTACGAAATCTTGACAGAGAGTGCCGAGTTTTCAAAGAACAGTGGATGACCAATTATTTTTTTGTTCAGTGTAAGGACCATGCAGTTTGTCTGATATGTAAAGAATATAATCTGCATCGTCAGGGTCATACAATTCTGTTATACAACTGACTCGACCCCGGCCCCCACAATCAGGAGCGATAATGTGGCCCCCAGAGAAAACAGTTTGGTGACCCCTGATCTATACTGTGGAACATTATAGACAAAGCAATAACATTTCCATTTAGACAAGGAAGTAGTGGCCCCTAGACCAGAAATGTTACATAGTGCAAGTTTAACTTAGTGGTCCCACAGTTAGTATGAATGTTTTTGTTGTTGTTATTGTTTTGTTTTTAGTGATTGGGAATATTAGGCTTATTATACCCTATTTGTTTAACATACAGTATATAGGCTACATTACAAATTTAAAGATAGGGGGACATGTATCTGTCAAAATTCTCCATAAAATAACATTAATGGCATCATAAACCTAAACCATAAAACTGTAATTTTCTCTATTTATTTTTAAGTGTAACTTGGGGCTTAAAGGCAGTCAGATAAATACATAGAACAATATTATAACTATGTATAGCCATGTGATTTCATTAAGTTGCAAAAAACAAAAACAAATCCAACAGAACACAATGAAAAATACCACTTTTATTGAAATTACATCATATTTACAAAAAACAACTGACATGACAGCTCAAACACTGAATGACTTTGTGGTCACAGTCAAAATGCCCAAAAAGAGAACCATAAATTCCTTGAATAAAGAGTGGGACCATATTATTTTGAAGTTGAATAGATAGATATAAGTCTAATAATTCTGTAATAATCAGATTTTTGCTGTGTGTTTACTTGTTTATTATTTAACTGGAAGATAACCTATAAATAATGCCCTTTTTTTCCATAATTGTCCTTGATAATACCTCCACTATTGTAAAAAATCAAGAAATCAGACGTAGACAATAATAAAATCAATAAAATAATAATGAAAACTTTGGAAATTAGATGATTATCAGATTTTCGGTGTGCATGTGCAATTGTAACAAACCATTCTGTGCAGTTGTCGTATCTATCTTGTAACCTTACATTGCTTCATTCAGGATTATTTTACACCTGAGTAAACAGTATAGACACTTCACTCATTGTCCAGTCTTTAATTAGTGACCTGCCTGGTTTGTTCAGTGTCTAAAAGTGAGTATGTTGTGGAGCTGACAGCACAGATCTCAGTAAAATGCTAACAGAGCCATACACTTTTGGCCTGGGATCAGCTGGACTCCAAACACACTGCGGAGGTTTACTTTGCATCCACATCTGCGGCCAAGAGGTTGTCACAAAGCGCTAGGTCAGACGCACACTGCAAACTGTTGTCTTGGCAAAAACATGAAACTACAGCCGTGGCAGCTCCATCGCTCAGTATTAAGGCTGGAAAATAATTAACCTCAGGATGAACTCTGGTTTAATAGGCTTCGTTCAAGTTATAACTTTCTGAAGAGCCAGTAGTTTAACACTGAGGCAGAGGACAACAGGTCAGGATTCAGTGGTAGATTTTGTCTGGGGGTGTACGTAATTCCCCTCCAGGAAGTATATTGTAAAAGCAGCACTTGTTGTTGAAGTTAGATGCCTGCGTGCTGCTATAAAGCATTTATCGGTTACAAGCCCACAATAATTGTCCTATAATTCAGTTATCCGGCCAGCCAGAGCCCAAAAGACCTGAGGGCCTGGAACCATATCCCAAAAATTCAGTTGGGATGATTGACAGGGGCGTTTTAACCAATCAGAGTGGCTCAGAGTTTGTTCATGTCAAAACAAACATATTGGCTTAGAAGTTTGAAAAAGGGAAAAATAATGCAGAGGACTGAAAACATCCATCCAATTTCTTCAGTTTATCCGGGGCTGGGTCGCGAGGGCAGCAGTCTAAGCAGGGACTCCCAGACTTCCATCACCCCAAACATTTCCTCCAGCTCCTCCGGGGGACCCCAAGGTGTTACCAGGCCAGCCCAGAGACATAGTCCCTCCACCCTGTCCTGGGTCTTCCCCGGGCCACCGAGCCACCTCAACTGGCTCCTTTCGACATGGAGGAGCAGCGGCTCTACTCCGAGCTCCTCCCGTGTGGCCGAGCTCCTCACCCTATCTCTAAGGGAGCGCCCAGCCACCCTGCGGAGGAAACTCATTTCGGCCGCTTGTTTCCATGATCTCGTCTTTTCGGTCATTACCCAGAGCTCATGACCATAGGTGAGGGGAGGAACGTAGATTGAGCGGTAAATCGAGAGTTTCGCCTTTCGACTCAGCTCCCTCTTCACCACAACGAACCGATACAGCGACCGCATCACTGCCGACGCTGAACCGATGTGACTGTCAATCTCTCCATCCTCCCCTCACAACAGAATTTAGAAATTTTTTTTGAAGAATTTTGATATTTTGTTCTGAATTATATGATAATTTTCGGGAGGAGACGCTGGACCATCCAATGTTAGGATGTTAGTTTTTCATGCTCTATGGTCCGAGTCCAGACCCTTCGAAGAGACTGTGGGGACTGGCTGGTCAGGTAAGTAAATCAATGTTTACGATACAAAAAAAAATAAAAAAGGTGTATTATACAAATGGACTTTTTAGTACTTTCTACCATTTTTAACATTGTGACCTTTGTCAAAAACATGCCGGAAAAGGTTTTATATGTCATCCAGTTCCAGTTATTAGTACAATCCTGTCCACATGCCTACATCACCCAGACTTGCTTACTGTGACAGTGCTCTGAAGGGGGAGTGACTTTCGCAGAGAGCAAGGTTTTGGAGAATATAGCATTTTCAAAACCATAAAAGGTAACACAATAATCTCAAAATTATGTGTTAAGACTGAAATATTTTTACTTTAAGGGAAAACTGTAGTGGATTTCTGTTATATATTATTATATATATATATGTATATATATATATATATATATATATATATATAGTCCCCTGCCCTCCATCTGAAAAATATATTACATAAAATTGTAGGACACAAAACATATTAGCTGTTAAAGTATAAATAATATTTTCTTCTTTTCATGGTTATAAAACAAAGTGCTGGCACCTTAATGGAGCTCAAAAGTCCTCATCCGAACATTCCCCATTCATTTTCCCATAGACTTTTAGACAAACTCAAAAACAAAACAAAAAAACACATACACATACACACTAAAAACGTAAAATTCTGTCAAATGTTTTTATAAGTTAGCAGTTCAGTATAGGCTTTGTGGCTTCATTACCACACGTGAGCATTCAAACCGTATTTACATGTTTTTATTAGTTTATTTCTGAAAGTCTACGGGAAAAATGAATGGGAAATTGTCTGGAACCAAGTGGTGGGCGATCACTGCAGAGCTCCATATGCCAGTGCATTGGAGTGCATGTGTCCGTCATCTCCTCACGTCGTTCATATAAGTCATGTGGTTCATTCTCTGTCGGGGGATGATGTTGTCAATGAGGCGTGGGCTGCAGTGCCGGAGGTAACGTAAAGACGGGTCCTCGTAGTTAAACGGAGGGGGTTTGTAGTCCTGTAGGTACTCTGGGATTAAGTGTGGCAGACTGCGGAGAGAGAAGGAGAGTTGGTCAATGTAATGATTAAACTAAAGCACAAACTGATGTCTGAATAGAGCCTCAGACAGAGCAGTGCCTACAGTTAGCACCACACCCCCAGAGAATGTTAATGACAGCTGCAAAGTATCAATTGAGACACATTACTTGAATAGTACCAGTTTAGTGTAGTTCATTCCCCATGTTTATGTCCTTAAAGGTGCATTGTGTAACTTTTCTGGTGGAGGGTCCATTAAATATTTTCTCCATGGAGATGTTATTCCTTTGTCTGGAATGTTTCACAGTATGGCATTAAATCTTTCTATCTTCAACGAGACCAAACCAGACTAAGTTACAGGTCAGATCTGTGGCGAGGCGACCCGCTCACAGTCAGGATGCCTGTTTTTTGATGTATTTCTGAGCTATAAAAACACCTGTAATTGAATAAATGTAATGTAAAGCTGTTTAATGTCACACTGTGGAACATTCCAGGGAGGGCAATGACATAACCATAGAAACAAGCAGGTGATGGACTCCGACTAAAACGTTTTATAAAGCACCATTAATGCGAAAAGATAAGATTTGTTTGTTGTTCAGCACTTTGGTAACCGTTGGCTTTTTTAAATTTTCTCCGATTTTCATTTTGAAGACAAAATGAAAATTCAATCCAAACATTAAAACTGATCATTAGGTGTAATCTGTGTATCATTCATTTGTTCATTCGTTTTTCAAAATAAAACCAAAAAGAAGAAACGGATAACAATTCGTTTTTTCAGTTTTCGGTTTTGTGTTTAAATAAATAATGGAAAAAAACAGATAACGACTGTTTCCTGTCTTCGTGACTTAAACTGCGATGCAGGACTTTTGCGCCGCATAAGGACTAAACCAGAGCTGGACCAGGACTGAACCAGAACTAAACCACGACTAAAACAGGTCTAAACCAGGTCTAAACCAGGATTGAACCAGGACTAAGTGTCAGGACAGGCCCGGAGGTGCACCCACATAGACAGTCAGGTGATCAGGACTGAGACCAGGACTGAGACCGGGACCAGACCAGGACTGAGAGCGGGACTAGAGTGGGACCAGACCAGGACTGAGACCGGGACTGAGACTAGGACTAAGATCAGGACCAGACCGGGACTGAGACCAGGACTGACACCGTGACCAGACCAGGACTGAGAGCGGGACTAGAGTGGGACCAGACCAGGACTGAGACCGGGACTGAGACTAGGACTAAGATCAGGACCAGACCGGGACTGAGACCAGGACTGACACCGTGACCAGACCAGGACTGAGACCGCGACCAGACCGGGACCAGGACCAAGATGGAGACTGGGACCAGACCAGGACTGTGACCGGTTTAGTCCTGGTTTAGACCTGGTTTAATCCTGGTTCACTTCTGGTTTAGAACTAGTTTAGACCTGGTTTAGTCCCGGTTCAATTCTGGTTTAGAACTGGTTTAGACCAGTTTTAGTCCTGCTTCAGTCCTGGTTCAGTCCATATGCGGCCCAAAATTTGGCATCACAGTTTAAGTCACAGAAACTGGAAATGGTCGTTATCCGTTTTTTTTTTTTTTTTCTTTTTTTCCATTATTCATTTAAACACAAAATCGAAAACTGAAAAAACAAATCGCTAGAAGTTTTTTCATTTTGATTTTGGAGGCAAATAATGAAGACAAATAATGTTTTTTTCATTTTCTTATTTTTGGTTTTATTTTGAAAAATGAATGAAAGAATGACACACGGTTTAGGTGTGAATGTCATTTTTAAATATATATTCCTACACACTACAATTTACTGTGATGAGAAAAAATGTGCTTTCCCTTATAAATTATAAACTGGGCCACATCTGTTGTGACAAGAACTATTGTAAAACATGCCTGAACATTTAGAGACGTTCCTGCCGCGTGTCGTGTTGTCTGTAAATCTACAAGCAGCAGCGAGCTCCGGACTGTCAAACGCTCTGTGCTTCATGAATATTCAAATAAGTCGAGATGCTTTGAGAACTGAGACAAATCTGGGACTAAATCTGATTCAAAACACAACCATCAGAAGACGACTACAGACTGTTGTGCTGCTCGTTTAAGCCTGAATAAATTGTACATAATTGCAGTAATTCTCAGTGGGAAATCTGCGATGCTCTCGTATAATAAGGGATAGAGCAGTGTGAAGGAGAAGCACAGAATCTCCATGAGCTAATGACTGTTCACAACAAACACACTTGTAACATACTCCATATAGTCCATGCATAGATAGTTTGTTTATATACTTTTTTTTAGATGGATTAGTAATTAATGTGGCCTGTATATGGTGCACGGTGTAGTTTCTGGGTCATCTCATGAAATAGTGAACAATCAAAAGAATGTACAGGACCAGTCTGAGTTGAAGGGTTTAAGCTTTAGGTGCACTGTGTAGCCTGCTTATTTATTATTTGTTTGCTGGAAAATTCCACAGAATGGCATAAAATTTTGAGACAAGCAGGTTACACCACCAGGGCCAAGCCACACGTCAGATCTGTGGCGAGGCGAGTTTACTGCAGGTTTTTCAAGGTATTACTTAGGTAACACTTTCTGTAACTGCTGCTGTCAGGATCTTCATTTTGTTCTTAAAATGTTTGTATTAACCAGCGCTACATGATCCTGGTGTTTTTATTTCGCTTCAGTTTTATATAGAGTTTTTCTGGACACTCAAAGATGCTTTTACAGTTCATTATTCATTCACTCCATACCCAGCGATGGTAAGATACTATTGTAGCCACAGCTGCCCTGTTGCAGACTGACGGAAGCGAGGCTGCCAATCTGCACCATCGGCCCCGATCACCACCATCACTCATGCACACACCACTTTCATACTAGGCAATGTGGGTGAAATGTCTTGCCTAAGGACACAGTGGCAGTTTTTTGTGAATGGCAGCTCCCGGTGGCTCCTGATTTTCTCAGTGTCTCCCATCCAAGTACAAACCAGGCCCGGCCCTGTTTAGCTTCTGAGATCTGACGAGATCAGGCTTTGACAAGCTGGTACGGCCATGTAGTGCACAGTCTACAAGGAAAGTTACACAGTGCATCTTTAAAATAATAAATTCAGTTTGTGGCAAAAGGAGAATTTAATTTGTCACATAGACAAAAGTTTATTTGGTCGAATATGTTTCACAGCTCATCCAAGCTGCATCCTCAGTTCTGCTCAGACGCTGGTGGACACTTCCTTATATCTGTCTGAAGGAAGGAGCTAACTACACTGAAACTACTCTGAAACTAACACACCTACTTGTTTACAGTTTCTGTTAGTTAGCTCGGCCTTTTGATCTTGCACTGAGTCTGAGTGAGCAGTCATATAAGCAGAATCATTCAGTCATAATGGAGCTTTCGCACCTCTGGGCCTGACCTGGCTATCCCTTTTTTTGTTTTTGTGTGTTTGTTTGTTTGTTTGTTTTGATTTAGGTTTGAGGATGGAGTTGTAAATAGGAGATAGATGATGTCTGAGTCCCCCATTTCTGTTCAAAGATGGATTGTCTTTCCTATCAAAAATTGCCTTATATATAGTGTTAGTTTCAGAGTATTTTCAGTGTAGTTAGCTCCTCCCTTCAGGCAGATATAAGGAAGTGTCCACTAGCGTCTGACCAGAACTGAAGAAGCAGCTTGGATGAGCTGTGAAACATATTCCACCAAATAAACCTTTGTCCAGTTGACAAATTGAACTTCTCTTTTTGCCTTGGATTCTACCTGGACGACTGAGGGAACAGTTTAGTTTGTATTATTCTTAGCCTAAATACCACAAACTTTCCACACAGGACAGTATTGTTTTAAAATAGCACTGCATATTAAATACTTGTGTGAAAATTCTTTTCTCATCAATATTATTTTACATTTCATGCTATTACATTGTGACTATGGTATCCTACTTGTGACAAACACTAAACCATAATTTTGCACATTAACAGCCAAAACCCATTTTCAAGCAATACAATGAATGCACACGGACTCCCACTGATAGTGTGATATTGTAAAGATGTAATAAACCCCCCCATCATATCTGATACATGAAGGATTATACATGAATGATAATCCGGACATCTCATCTGTTTTACTCATGACAACAGCCTCCGAACCTCTCCTTTTGCTTACTCAATCTAATCTAACAACATAATCCCTCTATGCAGGCCATTATATCCATAGGGTCCACAGCAGCGGGACAGAGAGGAGGAGAAAGCAGGCCAGTCATCAAGGGGATTAAGCCTCTGTCCCACTAACACCTGGTTGAAATGCCAAACATCTGTACACACACGCACACCGCAACACACGCATTTACTCTGTGAATTTACGAGCACATTAACAATCATACAAGGCCACAAATATACTATAACCATGGATTAGAATGACTTCAAATCATAATCTGGATTGGACTAGTTGTGAGAAATTTTTATTGAACTTACTTAAAGGCACCAGACCATTTTTTACAGCGTTAAAACATGAAAAACGGTTTACAGTGATCAAAACTATGGAGGATAATTTGTTTAATCAGATTTTGAATTTTAAATACTGTTGAAATTCTTACTTTTAATTTAACATGTTTGAATTATTTTTATTCTAAGACTGCGTTTACACTGAAACAAATCACCGTATCGTCGTTTCTGTGTCCGCAAGCCTTCCCTATCCACACAGCTTTGCGCTTAGTTTTTTCTTTTTTTACAGAAACGAAATTTAAAACCATATGGCTCATTTGCAAAAACTGAGGGCTCAAAAAACAGCTCGCTATTGATGCGGTTCAGATTCTGTCAGACTAAAGCACACGACTCAGTGGAATATGAGTGTTCTTTCTGTGACAGAGGGATGTTCTGCTGATGGTGGGTCTCTTCTGTGCTTCTACGGCGTTGGAAATGGTTCATGTTAAACTTATCAGAGATCATACGTCTGCAGGACTCTGTAGGACCGGCCTCCTGCTGGTGCCCAGAGTCAGGACTAAACAAGGGGAGTCAGCGTTTCAGGTTCACGCAGCTAAAACCTGGAACAGTCTTCC